TCGTTAAAAAAACCAAATTGTAAACACTTATTATGCCTCGTAGAAAACACAAATATCACCTTGTGATTAATTTGCTAGAAAAACGAAAGAAAAGATTCCGCCATTAAAGAAAAAAAATTACAAGCTTTCAAAAATCACTCCTACTCTATGAAATGGAATCGTACATTTTTTAAATCTAACATAAATAAATTTGAGTGTACTTGGTTATTTTGTGACATTTTTGTGATAATCAATAATGCCACTTGGGGGTGCACGATCTACTTACCTCCAGGTGGTGCACCCTGGGCAACGTATACTCATACGACAAAAGAGTCGATAAACCAGCAGTTGACTTCAAAATATAATGACTCGACTGTATGTAACATCCCACCACTTCCACAGTACTCGTCTTATCACCTTTTTCTCTACCTTTGCGTACACCTCTTTTATATATGTGAATCACTCTTCTGTTCCCCCCCCCCTCGATTTTTTGCGACTTTATTGTTCCTCCCCTACTGTTAAACACGAAGTCAACTAAAGGGCTTATATTAACTAGCATAGAGCACTTGACATATACACTAATCATCAGTTGATCCATGTAACTTTCAAAGCTGGTACAGTTGTCTGATGTTTGTGAGAATCGTTAATGTGTTTCGTCCCATCGTTTATCGATTCATTTTGAACAAGGAGATATATAACCTTTCAAGTGCTATATATTTGCTGAGGGTAGAGAAGCTTAAATTTTAATATATATTTTATTGTAACTTAAACAATTTCACGAGTAGCGGTTCGTAGGACCTTTAAATGTATCAATGAACTTAAATTAGATTGAGGCAAATTTGTAAGTTGACCGGTAAAGATGTTGACTTTGAAAATACAGATAAGTATTAATTTGCGCTTTCTCAAGTTCTCATAATCTGCTCAAAATGGGATTACATATTTGCTCAGATTTGAATTAACAACAGTTTGCTCAAACTAGATCATATCTAATTTTTGAAATTGATAAGTATTCAAATGTTTCTTTTCATTGAAATGTCATCAAAACTCCGCTTTTTCAAATCGCCCGTGAGATGTGTGTCGTGATTTCATCCTTTGTAACGCTAAAACAGTGGCTATCTTAATTTATTGATTTAGTGAGGAAACAGTTCCCAATTAGGGGTATGAATCAATTATTATCAAAAACTATATTCCTAATGTTGTAGTTCTCTAGCAGAAATGTGCAAAACGCGAAACGTTATTGGTTCCTCAAAGAAGAATGAGTAAACTCGCATTTTAAACTGCAACATGTTGCCATTTGTCCCACCACATTGACATATAACTTTTTTTAGCAATTGCAAGAAAATTAATCAGCAAATGCAAGTAGGTTTATCAAAAGTGCGACCCTACTAATTGCAACCACTTTCTGCCCATTATTTTGCCAATTACAGTGAGTCCACTCTCAAGTGTGTTGTGTGGGAAAATGTTGCCAGCGACGCCTAAATTGGCACAGTTGGAATAGAGGTCATTGCGAAGGAATTCTAAGTAGCCGACGAACAAATCCACCGATATGACGTTCAACCAGATGGGCTACATGATGTGATTGAAAATGGTGTTTTAAAGTTGAGATCGAGTGAATGTTCCTTGCTCGAGTAAATGAAATGCTTTGTCTATTCATATGTTCCTAAAACAATCTTTATTTTAATCATTGATGTTCATTTTCACTAGTCATTAATCGAGTCTTCTTTCTTCAGGTTGGGTGATGACGTTTTCGCTGATGAAAGACGATTCCAATTCTCACTTGAACCCCTAGAAAGAAAATTCAACCCTTCAAACACAATATTTTGTTGTGAATGAATATAAAAGAAGGCTGAAACTGTTATTAAGAAGGTAGGAACAATATCTGCCCACCTTTATTAAAGAATACTTGGAAAATCCTCTTTCAAGATCATTAGAAATTTATCAGGATATAATCAATATACTAGGCAACCTTCTCCGTCGGGTCAAAAGAAAATGGTGTGTAGTTACGAGATCCTGTCAAGATTGGCTTAAATAGCCTTTTCAGCATTTTTAAAGGCTATTCAGCCAGCGTTCGACCACAGGGGAAGTGGAGAGTTATTGTCGATTTGGTGAGAAAGAGAAATCAGTAACACCTTTCCTATACGATCAAATTGAATATAATTGCCTGATTGTTTCATCTCATTTTACAGACCTACAAGACTACCTGCCTTACAACAAAGTCACAGAGGGCGCTAAAATCGCTTCCTTTCAATCTGAGGCTAGCCATTACAAAAATTCCTGCAAAATTTTGAACAAATTAATTGGTAAATCTACTTCAATAGGGAGACCAAAGGCCTTCTCCCTTTAGATACGGGCAAATTCTACTTAAAGGTATGAAGAGTGCCTTCTTTATCTGGCAAAAAGATTGAATCAAGTTCATGGAGTAAGGAACCCTTCTTTGCCACTTATTTCCTCAAATGAGTTGTTGTTGTTTTATCTCCGCTTAAGGTAAGGTGTTCTCTTGGTATGTATCAGTTCTTGTATCTTGATCTGCATTTGAACTGCGTTTTGTCAAATTTTAGGCTATGAGTATTGAACTGCCACGAAGACGGCTTCCAATGGCTGCCAGAATGTGGGGACTTGTGGTGGATAAAAAGCCAGAAGTGATTAGGTATTTGTGCAGGAATTACTCTACTTACTTGAGGATCGGAGTCTCGAAGGAATTTTCTCGTCTTGATAAAAACCCTTTCAACACGTTGTATTAACTTAAGGTATGCATTTAGCAACATCTATTTTGTCCCAAAAGAAAAGCAATCCAAAAATCAAATGTACAAATGAACTCATTAAATCCATGGTGATCCAGTGTTTGTAAGATGCTAACATTAAACAACAAGGCACTATGGGTTAGGGATCCTATTTCGATGACAAAACGTCTCTGAATATTTTTGCAACAATGTGTTTGTCCTCTTCAGACAACCTGGTGCTGAAGATAGATGGAAGGTTTTGAGATGCCAAGTGGCAAGCCAGCCAACTAACAAATTGATGGGAAAGGAGATTGTTGTGGCTGTGAATGCTGATGTAACACATTCAAATTCTGAAAACTGGGCATTCAAAAATCTGTTGCTGTAGTTGTGGCCTCGGCTTCACTAGACCCGATGAAATATACCGTGGTTGTGAGTCAGCAGAAGTGCAACTTGGTGAGGGAACAGAGTATTGCTCAAGAGAACACAAATGCAATGAAGAATGTATTTACGGACCTCCTGAAGGTAAAAGGTAGAATTTGCTGATGCCTATATGCCACAACAAAAATTTTCCATAATCGAGATGGAACTTCAGAGAAGCAGTTCAATTAAGTGATCGGATCAGACTTTGGAGATATTCGAAGAGCTTGTACTGATACTTAACCTAGATATGAACCTCAAAATCCCTTTATTGTTTCTTTCCTTTCAACTCTTCCTTCCACCTTCATACACGGTTGAAGATCGTCAGTTAGATAGGTCGAATTTTCTTTCTAGGGGTTTTTGTGAGACATGGAATTGTCTTTCATCAGTAGGTACTTCACCAACCTACGTGAATAAATTCTTCTATTTTCTTGGCGTATGAAATTGAACTAATGAGTATTTTTGATTTTTGGGCTGTTAACTTGGCTAACTCAAAGAATTGCATGCTCGTTTAAACATTCTGAAGTGTGGAAGATGCGATGCCAATTACGCCATCGAGCAAACGGGACCTCTCAACCAATTACTAGGCAAAGTCATCACATTGCTATCATACCCGAAAGTGCATACATTGACTTAGCCGCTTGTCAGTAAAATAAAACCCAAAATGCATCCCAAAAACGCGACCCAATGGACCGGACGGGACCGATATATATATGCACTCAATATTACATCGCCCGAATAGACGTATTCCATACCCTACGTCTTTTTTCTCTACAGCTTTGCGTCAGCTTAGCTAATCCCGGCGGCCATTCCTAACTAGGGCATCTTGCCGTAGAGATTCCTGAACACAAGTCCAGGCTTATTAGAGCAACAGTCCGCAACACAGTCTTTCATTTTTTTTTATTTTAGCATTATTTAACATTTTTCTAATCACCCGCTGATCAAATTGGTTATTCGATTCGGAATGTCATATCTTCATATTATTTCATACATCTAGACCAAAAATTTTGGCTAAAGAAAAATGAATTAAATCGTACCATAACCAAGTCTTTTTGATTATAAATGAAGTCAACGTTTTGAAGGTCAACCGTCAATCAATGTTGAAGTTGGATGCAAAACATATATTACCTTACTATTTTAACCGATATTTCTTTTTCAATCGAGGTTCTCATGGAGATTGCCATATTTAAGCCAAATTTTTAGAAAGAGTAATAATAAGCTTAACGCTTATTTAGTAAGTAATAGACTGAAATCTTATAAATTCCCTGTAATAAATCACAGCACTAAATTTTCAATTTGATTTTCAGGTTAAATCCTATCCACAATTATATACTATTTGAGTCAAGTACCTCCATTTGTAAAATATTTTTTACGAATGCGAGCCTTAAAAATCAATTTTATTAATTAGACACACCCCTCTACTTTCAGTCATATCTATTGCGAATAATTTGAGTTAGTTGGACTCGAGGAGGGTGATAAATAAGACTGCAATTTGAGATTACATACAAATCCAATGCAATCTTACTAAGGTGTACTCGTGTTTGCTTATCATCACATTGTGTATCTTCTCACCTGAAAGCTCATTTTCTACTCAAGCCATGTGAAAAACAGTTAAGCAGGAACCCGTTTGCTAACGGTGTAAGCTTGAGGAACCTAATTATAGTATAATTCTCTGATAACGAGGTTAAATGCACTTGAATATGGAAGGAAAAAATTCATCGATTAGAATATTTACTTATTTATTTCAAATGGCAGGCGTTTTGATAGCTATCATTAGCCATTTATCTGACTTCGGGCTTCACGGAGAGAAGGTTCATCAAAGTAGAAGAAAGTCGATGGGTGGGGAACAGAAGAGCGATTCACCGCTGTAAAAGAGGCAGGCAGACACAAAGGTAGAGAAAAAGGTAAGATGAGTACTGTGGAAGAGGTCGAATATGACAAGCAGTCGGGCCATGGTAGTTTCAAGTCAGATGTCAAATGCCGATTAGTAGACTTTTTGCCGTATGAGTTTACGTTGCCCAGGTTGCACCACGTGGAGGTAAGTCTATCGCACACCCCTCGATTAGAATATAAATCGGCAAAAACCACGGATGGTCCTGCAAATGAATAGAAAACAACGATTACTA